CAAAATTACTAATATAGTGTAACTTTTGAAAAAACTTGCTCATTTAAAGTAAGTCGTAGATGACAATATTATCTTAAAAAAAATAATAATAATAAAGTTACACATGTTGTATACAAGTTATAAATTTATTTATTTTTATTTTACCTGGCCAGTTACCATAATAAACTTCAAACTTTCGTGAACCTTGGCTAGACCTGCCACCATCGTCTGTGTCCAAAACGCTCGAAACCCTATCGCAGAACATAAACAACTCGTCAATGCCCAGTAACTCAGATCTTCTGCATTTATGGCGTTAACTAACAGCAAAACATAGTTGTGCAGAGTATCCCGATTCACGAAACGTACTACTATCATATTCCTCTGTTATACCGTAGGACAAAACAACACTCCTTCATGCACCCATGCAAACATTCACCCAAACTTCATCAGCGTTGTTGTGTTACACTAGAGCCTGGTTCCATCAGTCACTTGGCAATACAACCATGGCAAGTTTATATTGATATACTAATGGGTGCCAGTCAACTACCAAAATAAACATTGAAATCTGAAACAAAACCCACACTACGATGCTACTTATATTGTTTTGTTTTGACATCACATAAAAGAGTAACAATGCCCAAATATCATTTTCACATTATGGTATGAAACCATATATAGCAGCAAATGTAAGTCATACGCATATTTAGTTAAAAAGAAATGAATGTTTATGTCATATTTGTTAAATTACAGTGAACAAGGTTGTTGATTTTTTTTAAAAAAAATAAAGTAAGTTGTATATTATGTGTTCATCTAATTTTTTAAAATTAAATAATTGAAACTCGTATTTCTTACCTACGACTTAGCCTGCGATTAATTTAAACAATAAAAGTCATATATTACATGTATAATTTAAATATATAAAATAAATTTATAATTTGTATACCACATGTACAATTTTACTTTTCTAATGTATTAGTATTCTATTATTTATTTTAAATGTCTAATCAAGTATTTATATTATAAACGTGAATCTAGTGAAACAATCATTAGAGTTATTTTCTTTTATATTCTATCATTTATACATTTTAAGATTAAAATTAATTTAGAATGATACGTGAATTACACATTCTCTCTTATTATGATGAATTTTCCTTTTATTTACCTCTTTTGTTAATTCTATTTTAAATTTTAGGTTAAATTATAAATTTAATCTTTATATTTGACACAATTTTTTAATTTAGTTCCTATACTTAAAAATGTACAATTTGGTCTCCATATCAATAAAAACTTACAAATCAGTCTTTTCTGTTTTGAATTTGTTAACAGGTGTTAATTGTTGTTGATGATATGGCTTAATAAAAGTTTACATATGCATAGTTGGTAAATGACTAGACACTTAAGTTGTGAATCACCTTCATCTTTCTGACCATCATCTTCACGGTTGAGTAAAGAAGAGTTTTTGAAGATACAGGTGCTTTATTTCATTTTTTCTCTCTTTTGTTAAAGCCTCATATTTTTCATTAGAACCGCCTTTTATTTTACTTGTCAAGTGTTTTTGCTTTCTATGTATGTCATTTATGATAAAGTAATAACTTTTATCCCATTTTAATTCTTCTTATTCACAATGAAATTTCTTTTTATTATATTTTACCTTTGGGAATTGCTTGTACATGCAGAAATGTGTTCTTAAAGTGAACATATATTATGACGCGTGAAAGAACAAAGTTAAAAAAATCTTGCAAAAGATTGATAGTAAGCATATATTCATCTACTTGGCCAAAAATAAAATAAAATAAAGGGGTGTTATCCTTAATTAATTCATATGTATAACACTCAAAAAGTTTGTTTTTTTATTACATGTTGAATCGGTGGTGTGTTTGGTTATTTATTTGGTGCATTATTTTTCACAGGAGTTTTTACCACAAAAATAGATGGAGAACCAGGGAAGGTGACAAATTTCAAGGAATATGGACCGCAACACTCTCATCAAGAAGTTTGCAAAATCAGAAGTATGCAGAGTTACAGGGTGCATCTAAAGAAAACAACATTGCTAACTATAGGGTGCATCTAAAGAAAACAGCATTGCTAACTAGTTGAAGAACATACATATTAATAATGGAAAAAGTGGGGTAAACAACAAGGGTCAAAATCAAAAGGGTGCAGTTAACCAACTTTTTACGGTGAAAAGTGTAATTGATAAACAAATAAATTCAAGAATAATCTGGAATTGAATTTTATGTCCTCTTGAATTCTTTTAAGTGTGTTTTTATGTAACAATGAAGTTAACATCGTTAAGCAAAATACTAAACAGAAATAGTAGAAAAACACTGAAGCAATATTGAATTGAACATAAAAAAATTACAAAAACAAACTGTACGTGAACCAAATTACAAAAACGTAATTGAACAGATGAACTGGAAATAAATAAGCTAGAATTAAACTACAGAAATGTAAACATATGACTCTAAGCAAAGAACAACAATAAATGTGACTCTTTTGGTAGTTGGAATCTGACTCGGTGCAAACTTTTAGCGTGAAGAGAATTTTAGGTGCTAGTTTCTAGTGCAAAAAGTCCTCCTCCGTAATGTAAAGCTTTCTACTATTTATAGGCAATTTATCTCAATCGTTTTCTTCCTTTTGTGGGTCTCTTGATAATTGCTTCTGCACATACTCGCCTTCAATTGCTACCATTCATTATCCATAATGGCTCATGATCGTGCTTATAATCATGGCTTCTCCATAACTATTTTCGCTCACGATCATCTCTTTGTTTCTTTGTCCTTCAATTGGTGGTATAGTAACTGCTGCTTTAGTAGCTTCAAAACTTGTAATTCTTTCGATATGTTTCTTCACTTTTTTTAACAAAACTTTATCTCTTAGACTTAAAATAATTCCTTTATCAATTTCTATTTCGACAAGTTTTAAAAAAAAATATGAGTTTCACCTTGTCTTGTGGACTTAGAATAATTTTCCTTATTGATTCTTGTTTTGACAAGTTTTTGAGGAAAATCTATAAGTTTCACCCTTATCTCATGGACTTAGAATAATTTTCCTTATTGATTCTTGTTTCAAGAAATTTTAGGAAAAATCTATGAACTTCAATTTGTCTTGTGGACTTAAAATAATATCCCTCTTCGATTCCTATTTTGACAAGTTTTGGTTCTTCAATTTGGGACTTAAAAAATCTTCAAAACTCCTTGAAAGACAACTTTCTTTTCAATAAAGATTAAGGCTCTTATCACGACCCGTCAAAACTCTTCGAAATGTAGCCTTCTTTTCAACAAAAAATGGGACTCCTCTTATGACCCTACAAAACTCCTCAAAATGTAACATTCTTTTCGACAAAAATTAAGATTCTTCTGCCAATCTTCATAAAAACATGGCGAAGAGTAGTTCCTTTGATAAGTTTTTTACTTAGAATTTTCACATGTCCTTGACTTGTCAACATGTGGGAACATAGAGTTCTCTTTTGTTTTGAGTCAAAAGATGTGTTCATACTACTAATTTTTGAAGTGCATTTCTCCTCAAAAAGTATAGTCTATTTTCTACCACAAAAATTTGATAAAAACTTTAGTAAATTAGAAAATTTTCCTATCCCCAAAGACCAACCCTCAACAAGGATAGAACTCCCAACAACAACAGCTTCAAAAACTTTAGCAAATGAAAAAGTGTAAATAGAACTATTGTCGAACCATGCCATCAACAACAATTAACACCATTAGCAAATTTTAAATGGGGAAAACTAATTTGTAAACGTTTACTCATATAGAGAACAAATTATATACTTTTTAAATATAAGGATCAAATTAAAAAAAAATTAAATACTGGAATTAAATTTATAATTTAAACCAAATTTTAAAGACCAAAGTTGTTGCTTAACTTTTTCTTATTATCTTATATAAACTTTTAGAATTATCATAAATACTTATTATTATATTTATAAAATTTTCCTTATATAAACTTTAAATTTTTCAAAAATATTTATGTTTACGTTTACAAAATTCATAATATTTATGCTTACGAGTAATTTGGTTTTCACATTACACCGAAGTGGCAAAAAAGCATGCATATATCCTTACAAAGTCGGTGCGTCATGCTAAATTCGATTCACTGGTATTCTAATTAGATATATAAATATCTGCTCCTGCAACTCCTCGAGGAAATATTAATGGTCAGTTATAGTTAGTAATTTGGACATTATTTTTTACGCATCTTGTATAATATGTGTTTGTTGAATAACTACCCTATAATTAATCATCAATCAATGCCAATTCCATTTCATATCAGAAACTCTTTGTCTCTCTTGATCTTCTAATATTATTATGAAAATTTATTATAAAAATAATATAACTTTCTGTTATTGTTCCATATTTAGGGGCCATGGGCTGCCTTGTCACAGTGGGCAAAGCCTGACAGCTGGAAAATACAAAGAAGAGAGGTTGAATTGGATTGCTGATTTATTAAGCTTTTCTTGCAATTTGGAGTCGAATATATATTAATAGAATGATATTTTATTTGTGCAGAATTACTGAGAACATAAACCTTACCGATAAGGAATGGGTGGTTGAAATTAAATCATGCACAAGTTGAAAACCTTTCAGCCTCCACTTCAATAGTAAAGTTTTGGCATAGAAATATCATAGGGCACACATAAGTCATTAGATGCAGAACTCATCAGAAAAGTGAGAGGAAAAAAAAGAAATTTAAAAAAATATTGATGACACGATTGTATAAAATTTATGAAAAATTGTGTAAGTAATATTACTCCAAAAATTATGCAGAACTCATCAGCATTTGACTTGTTTAATTTTAATATTTGACTTGCAATGTTCATTGCACGTAACCGCTATGTCTAACTTCAATTATATGGTAGTATCAATCTAGCAAAAGTTACCACTTCCAATTTACCGTCAATATTGTGAAGTTGGCTTAACCTTTGGCTCAGTCTAATTTTATCAACACGAGACTCAAAATGGTGTGGTTTCTTTGAAATAATAGTATGCATTAGGACTTTGCCAGCACTACTCTGGGGTCAGAGGGGCCTCGTTGAGGTTAATAGAAGAGGCGTTCTTAATAACGGTGGAGGTGACTTTGGATCTTGGGGTCCCTAATGGTGGAGAAAGACGAGGGGAAAAGGGACCAGTGACGTGGGTCAAAGTAGCTGTGCTCACAGGGCGCCTCTCTGCTAGTGGCTTTACAGGGGAAGAAGGGTTAGGTGTTGGCAATGGCAGGTGCTGATCAGTTTGAGGTTTGGAAACGAGCTTCGGAGCTTCGGTGGTAGAAGAGGAAGCTGATGATGGGGTTGGGACCACACTGTGATCTTCAAGGTTGGCCACAAAGTTGGGAGAGACACCTATATTTGGCCATACAAAGGTCCCTTGTGGCTTGCAAATTTGGAAACCACTTTTCAGCCTTTCTATCTTTGCTGCCTTGTCTTCAGCTGTACTGTTTTCTTGCATTTGTGTATCCACTGATTTTGTCGCTTTGTTTTTATTAGCTTTCTTTTCCTTCCTTGTCTCTCCACCAATGTTTTCTGCCACTGATGTTGGTCCGGACAATAATGCTGGTGGCTTTACTGATTCTGACATTATCGGTTCTTCTACTATTGGTTTCAGCATTCCCAGTTGCTCCTGCATAAGTGCCTCCCATCAGTGATTATTAAATTCAATTCCTTTAGCTAGCCAGTGAATACTTTTGATCATTGATTTTCATCAGTTCTCAATATTTGTTCCAAGTGAAAATGAAAAGTAAACAATGAATAACCAGTTAATAAACAAGATTTTTAGAGTTTTGTTGATTGCTATGTTACTCTAGGCCAACATAGATTTTTGAGGAAAAGAAACCAATCATTGGCAGCACTCCATGCACATGCAATCAATATCATTTAGCCCGTGAACTAAATAACATAGAAAGAGTAATGATTGACTATGTTACCTCCATGCCGTTCAAAGTCAGCGAAATTTCTTTCAGTTGTTCCTCAATTTTAGTCTTCTTATTCACCAGTTCCGCATATATCTCCTGCAATATAAAGTTGTTAAAACTGGGCCCACTTCTATTGACATTTAGCAATTAGTTTGACCTACTATGCTTCACCTGCTTTGGAACCAAGGAAACATAGTCCTCCGAATTCAAGCTAGACAAACAGGAGCTAGGAGTAGTCACAATGGCCAGTGCTTCCTCTCCCTTCTTTGATGCGAGCTCCCGCATATCTCTGTTTGTAGATAAAGATGAGTAACCAATGACACTCAGAATCAATAGAATAACCGACAAAATCACTCGAGAGCAGAGAATAAAAAATAAAGAAATTGGCTTTACTGTTTCAACTTGAGGATTTCTTCCTTGATCTCTCGGAGTTCTCTACTAGTGACTTGATCTTGTGAAATGCTGTCCCCCAGCTTCCATCCAGGGGGAGGAGTCCAGTAAGGGTCTTGGATCCCTGCTTCCCTTCTAATATCAACAAGATCAGCACTCTCTAACCAGTATTCCATTGCACCCTCAGCATTGTGCCGCCGTCGGAATCTTTCTGCTCCACCGGGTGCCACTTTTCCAGCCATGTGCTTCAGCAAATGATCTAGTAAACCCGTGTCCCCAATATGCTTTCGTGCTTCTGATCTCAAGTCTGGCCTCAATATTGGGTTTCCATATGCAGCTCCTTTTGCCTTCAATACCTTCAACATGTTCTCCTCTGCCAACTTATACCTTCAAACATGCGATGCAACAAAAAACAATTTACAATTGTTGAACCATGCAACGAAAAACTGAATTATATACTGTACTCTAGTTAATCATTGAGATACGAATAATTACTTACCTCTCAGCAGACCATCTGTCAATTAAGATTTTTCGCTTGTTTTTGCTGTAAAGCACGAGCTGCTGCTTTTTGGCGTCATTATTTGATTTCTTAGATTTTGAAACACCAGTGCTACTACTCACATTTTGATCATTTCTCTTACATTGACGAGTCATCCTCATTACCCCAAAAGACTCTGCCTTAGCAGCCTCCGTTTCTTCTTTCCATTTCTTCCTCTTCTTCTCACTAGTCCCTTCTATGTGTTCAACACTGACCACTTTTTCCTTACATAGTTCGGGTAAAGTTTCAACTTTTCGCTCCTCATGACGGCCCAAGAACCGAACTTGCCGGCGTTGGCCCCACTGCATCATCCCTGGGAACTTAAGCTGAGACCAGCATGACCCTTGCTTAGAAATCAGGTTGACATCGGTGAGAGATGGATTTTCAGAGCCTTGAATGTTTTCTTTAGAGGAAGAGACCCAGAAGCCCCAGGAATTTCTCTTATGTGAAAATTCCTCGGTTGGGATGCTTCTGTTTAGCGCTTTGATGGCGAAGTCCAACCCCATAACGTACTTCTCGTCGAGTGCAGGAATCTTCTTCCCGTCTGGCTTCCCGAAGTTTTGGTCGCTGAAGTGCGTGCGAAGAGATTGGAGGCTCGGGTACCTTAGCGACACCTGGTGCTCCCCTATGTCACTGACCTAATGAATTCACACACCCAATAATGAAAAGCAGCAAAGAAAAATATTTTAAATCTCTAATGCAAGGTTCAAAAGGAGCTCTCCATTTGTTGATTTATCATGTATATAGTATATAGTATATACCATTACAATGCGGACAGATTTTAGTTGAACTGGGGAAACGGGTGAAAGCTTGCAGTGATCAATTTCATGAAATCGACCCACTTTAAAGTGCTCAGAGGCTTCTGCAATATTCATTGACAGTTTTTACCAAAGTGACATTGGATTAGAAAATTAGAAGGAATATAGGGAAGGAAAGAGCACAAGGGTATTATATATGTAACGATACCAAGCAAAACAAACGGGTATAGTTATATTCTTATTATTATTTTTTTAATTTTTACGCTAAATGAAGGGCATTATTGGAAAAAGAAAAAAGAAACAAGTCCCGTTGCAATTCTAAAGTTGCCATAAGGTTCATAATACAGCCAATCAAACGGATGTTACCAAAGGTACAAATTGATTCAGATGCGGGTGGTAAAAGAAGACCATGTTTGTCCAAACATGGGCTCTTTTTGTTTCTGCCCTCCTCGACGTGGACGTCCCTGTTTTCCTGCTTCTTCAAGTACGAACACTCCTGCAAATTAAAATCAATCTACTCATAATTTCGTAAAATTTACAAGAATTATAATAATCATACTAATGATTCATTCAGAGCCATAACATACTATTAAAATCATAGCCTTCACAATATATATTTCTATTCCAAAAATAATTATAAACGTTACCATACATAATAAGTAAATATATGCATGAGATAGAGGTAGAGAAAGGGGCGTGAACGTGCGTGTGCGTGTGCAAAAGCATATAATCATTTATCTTCAACAATGTGTGCGTGCATGCGGCATCGTTCGTTAAGCTCAGAGGATCCCAAAAGGGTCGCGGCACGTTAGAAATAGGCTCATATATTTAACAGAAAAAGGCGCGCGTGTTAATTTTTGTGCACTGATTATGAAATCGGTGAGAAAGAAAGAGACCATATCTTCTGTAGCAGCAGCAGCACTGAAAAAACCACACGGAATTTCCTCCGTGATCTGCACAGAAAGAACATAATTAACAATAGCTAATAATTAATTTCATCACAAAAACTATACATTGCATCGACAATTACGTTAACACATAAATTTACATAAATAGAAATAAAGGTTTAAATTAAATTAGCCTTTACACATAGGTTATTGATTGACCAGAGAAAATAACTAAAAAAGTACTACCGTTTACGCTAAGTGAATAAGATGAATGTCAAAATATAACTATCATGTTCGTAATATAGTAAAGAATTAAATAAGAAAGGTACGAAAAAAAGAGACAAATCATGAAGAGAAATGAATGCAAAGCTTTTCACAGTGTTTGAACTATGTGAGAGGTATGAATGTCGATTTGTCGGCTACGATGGGAATTTCTTGGTTCCATTGATCAACATTCGATTTAATTAATATTAATCATCGACAAACACTGAGCACACAGCGCAATGCCATGTTCGTACTCTGATCGTTCTGAAGCAGCAAAACGAATGAAAAATGCTCGATTCTCGGAAACGCAGATAAATGTGTCCGAAAATCAATCGGATTTTCAGGTTCGAATTTCGAAAATGAACTAAAATCACCAATCGCTGCTTGTATATCTCGTGAAATCAGAATTACAAATCAAATCACTGAACTGAACTGAACTGAATCAACTCACTCGTTCGATCGTCATCGATCTTCTCTCTCTCAGACCTAGCTTAATGAACCGAGGTGTCCCTGCTTCAGAGTAGAAATCAACACTGCAACTACGGTGCTAGGAACGGAACAATCAGAAGAAGGATCAACGAGTTTAGGAGCATTAGCGTTCAGAGTGTTTTTGGCTGTTGGCAGAACGTGGATTTGAAAAACTTTGCTTTGCTTTGTTTGTTTCCCGAGAAAAAGAAATGGCTATGAGAGAAAAATTATGGAGCGAAAATCTGTTATCATGCGTGCGAACGGTTGCACAGTGAAGAAGCTTTTTGGTTGCACGTAAGGGAGGGAAGCAAGTATCATGATTATGATTCTCTCGCGGTCGCAAGTATAGCTCTGAGCAACGATATGAAATTACGGAAAAGTCCCTACCTCATTGTTCGTGTGAGACATGGTTGCTTTACAAAGTTCACCTCACTGCACCGTTTTAAACGTAAACAACCAATAGAATTTTGACACGCCATCAAAGTAACGTAAATTTGAAATTCGTGATTTTGATTGGTTCGTAACTTGGCACGCTCGTTCCAAAGAGTATTGCTCTATTTGTTTCCTTTTGTTAATCTTGTTGGCGGTTGGCTGTCACGTAAAATACTGTAAACATTTTAAGTAGTTATTTCAATCATTCATGAATGAAACAATGCTAATACCATTCCATTCTATCATTTTTCTTTGAATAAACATTTTATGAGAGTGATAACTAGAACAATCTTCATACTCGGCTTCTCGGCATTGTTTGATGTTAATAGCTTCAAACCACTACACTGTCATGTACCACATAAAGGATCTTCATTATTAAAATAATTAAAATTTTTATTTTAAAAAATAATAAATATATAATAGATGTTTAAGATTGTTACTGAACTTCGTGTAAGAAATTTTTATATATAATGTGATCAGTTGATATTTGATGTCAAATTTAAACACTTACAAAATTTAACAGATTTTTATAAAATACAAAATTAATTAACTAAATGATTAATTTGAATATTCTTACTGCAAGTAAAACTATTTTATAAAATTTTATAAAAAGTAAAATTAATAAAAAAATTATCATATTATTTTATTTTAATGACTACTATATTTTTAAAATATAAGTAAATATTAAATTTAGAATTTTTTATCTAAATTAATAGTTGAATTAATTAATCTATAAAAATTTATTAAATTATTAAGATATCTATAAGTTCAAATTGTATATATGCACACGTATGTGCGCGCAAATGAGATATGTTTGTTGTTGGATATTATGCTTTTGGGTTTTTATTTAGTGTTGTATAGTAAATTTAACTTAAAAGCAGGTTTCTTAAATGAGTAAAATATGTGTTCGGATATGTCATATTTATGTTCAACAAGTTTAGACAAAAACAGAACATAGGAAACTCTGATGATTTCTGAAGAGATTAGTCATTAATTATTATTGACAAGAAATTAATTCTAGTTCACATATAAGAAACATAGAACACATGTTTCTTTCACTGTTTGACCTTTCAAATTACCATCCTTATCCTTATTCTGCTTTTTATTTTTAAATTTTATTAATTAAATTATTAAAAATGGACATTATAAATTATTTTGTATACAATTATTATTTACACTCAAGTTTTTTATATTATATTATATTATATTATATATATATATATATATATATAAATATAAAATGCATTGAAAACAAAGTAGAGTATGTGGCAGTTTTCTAGATTATTGTTAGGGGTATTGGTTGTATTAATCCAGTCAGATAAAACTAAATTATAAATTAATTAAATTGGTCGGAAATTTTTCATCATATTATTTAAAGCTTAACGGGGATGTCATGTTTAACATCATGATCGATAAAGTGTACAGAAAATAAAGTTTGAGATGTTATATTCTTATTACTTATATATAATAATTCATACCACAAGATTATATAAACAAATTTCAGTATTACTGTAGCCGATAAAAAGGTTAGTTTAACGATTATTAAAAATTTTAAAAGAAATATTTTTCTTTTTTTTTTCTTTTCTAATGTGAAATCAGAGATAGAAGTAAACCAAAGAGTACGGGATAACAAAATTCCGAAGACAGAAGATTTGTAGGGAAAAAAAAACTATGAGAGGGTTGCAAATTTTGAAGTTCAAATGCAGAAGATTCGAAGTTTAATTATGGTTATATTAAAATGATTTTAAACAGCCAGCTAATAGATCGATGATTAATAAATGTCAATCATGTAGAAGGAAAACTATTTTCATTTAATATAAACAATTTTTCAATATATAGTTCCCAACATATGATTAAAATTTATATATATATTAATTTTTTATTGATAACATTAGCATGTATTTTAGCATGTCAAGAGTCATGACGAATTAATGAAGTATTTTAGGTATAAATTAATAAAAAGTAGAGTAATTACGTTCATGTTTCAGCGGCCAATATGCTTATTATGTGAAGCATATACATGGCTGCATATATTGGTACGACTGTGCATATTGGTATCCACAGTGTACTTCTCGTCTAAAAATTTAAATTTAAAGAAATATTAAGGTTTTAAGAATCTTATTAATAAAAAAAATAAGGATTATAACTTAAATATTTTTTATTAATTAATTTTAATATTGACTAGTAATTGACTACTTTTAGAGTTTTAAGAGCGCGTCTTAAATCAAGAATTTTTTTATCTCTTTTTTATTAGGAACTCTTTTAGTTTGTGTTTACTTTTTAAATTACTAAAGATTGGTTTATCTTATTATGCTATATTCATATGTTTAGATTTAGCAACTCTTAAATATATAATATAAATAATTATATCATAGGCGATTGTACCACATATAATTAATAGATCTATCGAATAAAATGAGATAAAGAATTAAGTAAATCACATTTAATTTTTCTTTTTCAATCATTATTAAATTAACAAGCCCACAGACTTTATATTTCTTTTCCTTTTGCCTTACATGACTATTGGGTATTAATAAATTTTGAATTAATCTAAAAGTGAACATAGAGAACAGTAAAGGTGAAACAATATGTCCTATAATTCATCTCGAATAGTTTTTTGTCATAGGTTGTATTATTTTGTTTCTTTTTAATTACTTTTAGATATGAATCCTTCATTTTATTTTATTACATATCATTTTAGTTCAAACAATTAAATTATGATATTCTTGGTATTTAGGAACAATCCTTGTGAGATGATATTCTGAGAACTTATTTTAAAACTCCTTATTACTTTTTAACGAGTACAATTGTCCATGAACAAGTTTTAGATGTTGTTACTAAGAATTTTTTTACAATATTAAAAAATTCTCGTATTTAATTTATTTAAATCTTATTTTATTTTGTTCTGTTAATCTTTGTTTTAATTCATGTTGTGTTTTTTTAATTGTCTATATTATATGCTCACTGATTCTAAGTATTTTACATCTTCCTTATTTGATCTGGAAATTGAAAGAATTGTGTGTAGAAAGGAAGGAGTTAAAGGAACAAAATATGGCAAAAAGAAGGAGATCAATCCAGGATTACATTACACCTACTCTGAAAGTAGTGTTGATCACTATAGTTCAAAATCTACACAATTTGAATAAATGCCAAATGAAGACCCTAACTTTCATCTAACAAAATTTCTTCGACTCACACACACTATAAAGTACAACAGAATCACAAATAATGTTATTAGGCTTTACCTTTTTCCATTCTCTATGACAAAAAAGGTGAATGCATGGTTCAACACGTTACCATGCTATTAGGCAAGGACCTACTATATATTATTTCCATGATTTTGCCACAATAACTAAACAAAAGTACAAAAGTTTTGCATGCAACAAAGAGGCTAAATTCACGTGTGATAGGGAGCCAATATTGAGCACTTGACCAAAATTTTTCCAAATAGCAAAACCAAACCTTTACAACTACTTGATAATAATAAGCACTCATCAAATAAATGCCACATCCCCAACCAGGTCATATTCCACAACCAAATACATGAAAAATCTACAAGAAAACTAGGCAAACATTAATTAACCCACCAAAGCAACTAAGTAAAAAAAACTCAAAATTCTTAGAAGCTTATTTGAAACATGAGTAAGTTGATATAAAGGAGTAAGAAGGAGGTTTAAATCATACCAAGTATAAGAGGGAGAAGAGGCAATCACTCACTTGTAACACAATAAAAATCAAGTAAAATAGGATTATTAGTTCATGTTTGCTAAATGAATTTTGAGTGAAGAAGAATCTTTAACCCTCTTTATCTAATAAAAATTTTGTGGCCGTTGTTAGTTCATGAAAATAAAAATGATTAGGAAAAGAAAATCAAAGAAATTTACTAAAAACAACAAAAACAGAAAATTCTGCAAAAAAAAGTCCTAACAAACTATAATGGATATTTTGAGGGAATTTAGCCACGAATTTGCTTCATATGTGTTATATTTACGATATTATAATGATTTATGTTGTTCCGTGCCTTAGAATTGTTAGATTAATCCTCTAATTTATTTATTCTTTCATAAAATTTAGTGTTTTCTCTCTTGAAATACTTGCAACTTTATGTGAATATCCATTTTTGTACATAATCTGAGTTTTAATTCTTTGCTTATTTGTGTGGTATGATTATAGTGATATTGATGTGATAGTAGTGGTAGTACCTTTGGTTGTGTATAAAAAGGGGATTTTGCAAATATTTAAGAAAGTTTACTATTTTGGAGTAGTTAAAATTGTTTTATGTTGTTTTTTCTGTTTTAGTAAATTCATAAAATCATGAAAAATTTTCAAAAGGTCAGAATACATAA